CCCTGCCCCTCCTCTTCCTGACCCGCTCCAACCCTGCCCCTCCTCTTCCCCACCTCTTTCCACCCCCTCCCCCAAGCGCGCCCCTTTCCCAATCCTCCCCCTCCTGCCCAGCACCTCCTGCACATCGCTGAACAGCAGTTCCGCAGCATACAGGAGGCACTGGGAGGGATGGGGAGGAGTTGATCAGCGGGGCCAGTGGCCCCGGACATGACTCGCAGACCCCCTGGTCCACGGACCCCAGTTTGAGAACCGCTGATTTAGAGCAAGCTACCGACTGCAGAAGTTTCACAATTCTGTAAGGACTTAAAAGGTGCAACACCAAGGTAGGAAAGTAGTCATTTAGGGTGATCCAGTGGAGTATAGCTAGGAGTATTAGGATTAAAATGAGCAAAGGAAAGTTTAAACTGAATATCTGGAAACCTCTACTAACCCTAGCATCTATGGGTTTAATCCAAAGAAGTCAAAGGAAAGTTAACTTCCGTAGGCTTTGTATCAGGCCCTATGACTAGCCTTTTTCTTTAATGCATCTGATGACCCACAACAGGAAGTTAGTGGAAGGTCCATCATTACAATTAGGGTAGATAAAATGATCCAACACACAGTGTAGGGAGTAATCCTATTCTGGATACAGCGGATCTGATGACTTACAGTAATAGTTCTCTTCTATTTTTTAGTTTTTATGATTACTTGATAAGTAGTGGACTTTTTCTAGGGACCCCAGTGGCAAAGTGAAACTGACTATGATCACAGAAACGAAAAGTCACTAAGTTCTGTGCTACCACAGAATGGATATCACAGCAAGAACTGACAACAACTTCTCCACTCAGCACCCAAGTACAGACAGGAAACAAATAAAATAAATCATTCTTTGAAAGTACATTTTACTCACCATGGGGCTGCGTGGGTCCAGTAGCTGCGGGAGCCAGAGCTGTGAGGCAAATACACTCCTTACTGCAGAGTTACTCAGGGGAGGCAGCCCATGGTGCATACTGTCTGTAACACTCTGGTAAGCCAAACTATTCCCAGAGGACAAATATACTTCTCTGAAGAGACACCAAAATCACTTTTTAAATACCATCTTTATAAAAAAAATTGAAATATAGTCTGTAACTAGCTTACACATTCATATTAATATGCTGAACTGAACATCGCAGTCGTGGGCAGTGACCTGCAACTGACTGTAGTTATGTACTTAGTGAAAAGCTAAGGGCTTGTCTACATGGTGTTTTAGACCACACTAGTAGGTCACGCACTAACTGGTCTGTGTACACCCTGCTGGTGCACACTAAAAGTTCCCTAGTTCATGTTAAGTGCATGCCAACGGGTCCACGTGGGCTAGTTCGTGCATGGCATGCAAGTGCAGACTAAAGCAAGTCCATAGACAAGCCCTTAGTTGCTATGCTTAAGCTGAATGCAGTGACTGGCCACTTGCAATTGCATAAGAAACTACGGCTCAAAAATGTATCCACCAGCCCATGTATTAACGTAAGTGAAAATAACATCCTACTAATGCCAGGGACATTTAATGGAAAACAGCTCTTCTCATGGTAGAAGGGCTAGCTTGTAACTGAAGAACATGACTATGAGTCAGGAGTAGAGCTGGGCAAATAATGGATTTGTTGGTTTGCTGGCAATTCCAGAAAACTGAAAAAAAGCTTCATTTAGAAGTTGAACCAAAAATGACATTTTGGGGGCAAACTGAAAAAAACCCAGTAAACATTTAAATGACTATGACTTGCCACAGGCATTAGGCAGGGAGAGAGTGACCCTATAGCCTGGTGATTAGGGCACTTGCCTAGGATCTAGGAGATTTAGGTTCAAGTCCTTGATTCAATAACTATTTAATTATTTATATGAAGTAGAGCAGGTTCAACAAGAGAGATTGAGAGCACCCCACCCCAGAATATCCCATAGCGAAGTAGCTAGGAGACTCCTGCAGTGTGGAAGATCCAAATTCAAATCCCTTCTCCACATCAAGCAGAGGATAGTGGGATTGAACTGGGTCTCGCATATCTGAGATGAGTGCCCTAACCGCTAGGCTAAAAGTTATAAGGAGGACACCATCATTACTTTCCCCGTTTGCGACTCCAGCCTGAAAAGTGAAACGTTTCCATAATGTCTACATGACTAAGAGCATATGAGCAAAGAGATCCCAGATCCATAGTGCGTTCTTCCATAGAGATATCATGCTATTTTGTTATATACTTTATAAACACACACTACATAAATGAAACATCCAAAAACTAAACTGGAAATCGGCCTAAATATACAATAGTTCTGTAAGTTCATCTGAATCTCTTTTACAACAGACATTTCTCATCCCCACATTTTTTGCACACCTTTTAACTCAAGGCCTGAAGCCAAACTATTTCCTGCAAGGTGATGAGCACCCTCAACACCCGTTCTCTCAGGAAGCGCTCATCACCCTCTAATTGTAAGCTCCTTGGGGCAGGGACCCTGTCTTTTTGCTTTTTGTCATTGTTTCACATGCACATATGGTGCTGTACAAGTAATAAATAAATAAATAAATAAGATAAATAGAGTATTTTTAGCAATAAAGGACACCTTGAGCATTCACAGCTGGAATATGTCAAAGGACTCATAATAAAGCAATTTGCATTTTAGTGTCACTATGCTCTCACTTGCATTATAACCCCAGTTTGGAGAAAATGAACTTTAATCATGCTCTCAATAAAGAAGTGATACAGATGTAGCATACGGCATATTTGCTTCAATTTCCTGTCAGCATACTAATCTTTATCGAAGTGAAATGTTTTCCTAACCAATTGCCCACAATGCCTTAGTGAGTAAAAGATAAAGCAAACTAGCCTGTTTTTTATTTCTGGTTCCCTGTGGATCTGCAATCTGTCAACAAATCAATGCTGTGTTTACATCATCTTCCCACAACAATCAAATTATACTACAGAACAGCAATTAAAAGGGGAGAGAGTAGGAGTCACTCCCTACTATCCCTCTGTGCTTGGTGGCAGTGCCCATAATCTATCAATACTGTAAATCACAATTTTATTGATATAGATAAAGTTAAGAAAATTCTCTTTTGAATGTCTAATGCACATGACACAGGAACACTACCAATAAGCCTCACATTCGCAGATAAGCTGTACTCTGATACGCTAAATTGAAATCCTCTTAAATATAGCAGATAAGGAATCTGTCAATTGATAGATGAACTATGTACAGCTGTTTTAAATTCATCTTTTCTACTTGTGTTAAGACAGCTCCTTCCTCTTGAACTGAATTAAAACCCGGTCACAGTACTTTATAAAAGAGTCTGGCAGAGATGATTTTTTGGAATTAGCACTTTTAACTCTCACCGTAATAAATGTCTGACTGCTGCAT